GAATTCCAGTATCATGTTGGCAGTGATTTGAAGAAGTCAAATGACAGGGATTAAAAAAAAAGAGTGAACTATGTTTTGGGAAATTTTGTATTTTAAGATAAAATTTAATCTTAAAATATAGAATTGCCCAAGTTTAAAACTTAAAAGTTTAAGTTTTTAAAGATTGCTTAAATGCTAACAAAATAAATAAACAAGTGTAAACTAAAAGAAAAAACAAAAACCACAGCCTACTCACTGAACACATTCTTCTCAAAATAAAGTTCTTTAAAGGCAGTAAATTTTTTTATACAATCGTAGTTGGGGCAAAGAAATATGAGAGATTTTCATTTCAACTAGAAACTTTAAATTTGTCTTTTGGTTATGCTAAGAAATTATCACGTGCATGGTGGGTGATCCAGTGCCACAGTCCTGTGACACTGTCGTAAGGAAGGGGATCTACTTGTTAACATACTGCTTTCTCATTTTTTGGTGAGGAAGATTCACTCTGAGCTAACATCTGTTGCCAATCTTCCTCTTTTTTTGCTTGAGGAAAATTAGCCGTGAGCTAACATCTATGCCAATCTTCCTCTATTTTGTATGTGGGTCACTGCCACAATGTGGCTTGAAGAGTGGTACAAGTTCGCACGCAGGATCCGAACCTGTGAACCCGGGCCACCAAAGCGGAGTGGGCTGGACTTAACCACTCTGCCACAGGACCGGCCCCTGCTTTCTCTTTTTAAGGTGCTCCTTCCCTCAACATTTTCCCTAGAGAAATTCCCTAGATAAAATTATGTTTTATACAACCCCTTCAAATAACCTGTAAATAGTCTCTACATTAACATCTATGTAAACTGTCAAATACTCTGGAGTCTTAGAAACATAAATAGATGAGCATTTTACTCTCAAAGAGCACTTTACTCATCTGGTCTCACTAGAACACTATGACTAATGTCGTTGAGTGACTGCTGCAAGACCATACTGAACACACATAAAGGAGACAGACTTTTAAGGTAGAGTGCTTTCCTTCATGTACCTCCAATCTTGTGGCTATAGAACCATCTTATGTAAAAAAATTCCATATGTGCTAATATTAGTTTTCTGACAAAATGTCTGTAAAAGACATAGGCTTGGAAGACCTTTCAAAAACTTGACTCCAATGGCTATTTCTGAGACTGTGAAACACAGTCTTCTGAATTTATTATACCTAGAGCATATAGAAGGTTATTAGATATTAAGGGGATATTTTCTTGCTATGTAGGAAATAAATTGTCAATGTTTGGGAAGGTATAAGGCATACAGCTCAGTAGATTATTCAGGAGTTTGAATGCTAAGGTTGTAATTGGGGATAATATGTAGGAACATCATGATATATGAGAGATTTTATATTTTGTTTTTATTACTTCACCTCAACAGACACTAAGGAAACAGATGTAAACTCTGGAACGGCTGTGAGTTTTAAAGCTAAAAGAAAAAATAAAAGAGTTTTAAATTCACAATCTGTTATATTACTTGATTTTTTTTTTTGTGAGGAAGATTGGTCCTGAGCTAACATCCATGCTAATCCTCCTCTTTTTGCTGAGGAAGACTGGCTCTGAGCTAACATCTATTGCCAATCCTCCTCCTTTTTTTCCCCCAAAGCCCCAGTAGATAGTTATATGTCATAGTTGCACATTCTTCTAGTTGCTGTATGTGGGATGCCGCCTCAGCATGGCCGGAGAAGCGGTGCGTTGGTGCGCGCCCGGGATCCGAACCCGGGCCACCAGTAGCGGAGCGCGCACACTTAACCGCTAAGCCGTGGGGCCGGCCCCATGTTACTTGATTTTAAAGGAAGAGATAGGGCCGGCTCCGTGGCTTAGCGGTTAAGTGCGCGTGCTCTGATGCTGGCGGCCCGGGTTCGGATCCCGGGCGCGCCCCGAGGCACCACATCTCCGTCCAACCCGAGGCCGAGTCCCGCGTACAGCAACTAGAAGGATGTGAACCTACGACATACAACTATCTACTGGGGCTTTGGGGGGAAAAAATGAATAAATAAAATCTTTAAAGGAAGAGATGACTTGCTACATCTATAATACCAAAGAGTCATACAACTAAAGCAGTTATGAGTTAAGCATATGGACCCCTTCAAAACACTTACTTTAGGTAATAATGACATTTATAGATATTTTAGTATACGAATCTTTTGGAAAAATTAAACTTAAATACAGACAAGGAAAAGAGGTCTCTAACCTGTCCAGTTCCTGGTTCTATAATGCAAGATATTTTGGAAAGGATTCCTTTGAAGATTACAGTAATAGCTAGGACAATAGAAAACAATCCACATGAGTAAAGAATAAATGCCTGGGAAAAGAATGGGAGGTTCTTACCTTCAGCTGCAGAAGGTGATGTAGAAGTTGTAGAAGGTAGTGTAGAATTGTGTGGAAGACAGAGACAGGCTCATCATTATTTCTAAAAAGTAGAGCAAGTGGGCTTCCTCTGCATTGTAAGGGACTCGGGCTAGATATTAGGACTACAATCCTGATAGGAATAGCAAGTAATGTAAAATAGCTTATTAAGGGAGATAATAAAATCTCTTTCTCAGAATACCAATTAAATGAAGATAATTCTTCGTCCTTCTAAGATAGTTCAGATATAGTCTTTTCCAAAGAAAAGGGATGGGCAGGCTTGCTTTCCAAGGCAGCTTTCAATTCTTTAATTATAAAGTATTGAATCCAAAATGGTTACCCTACTCTTGGAGCCAGAAAGTCATTGAATTTAAAGTTTTTTGAACAGTAGCAATTTTAGAGACCATCTAGTTCAACTCCTTATTCTCTACATTGAGAGGAAGTATAGTGTAGTGTAGAGGCTGGCAAACTATGACGCATGGGCAAAATCTGACCCACTCTCTGTTTTTATAGGGCCTGCAAACTTAGAATGGTTTTTACACTTTTAAACAACTAGGGAAAAAATCAAAATAATAATATTCCATGACACGTGAAAATTCCACAGAATTCAAATTTCGATGTCTATAAAAAGTTTTAGTGGAATACAGCCACACATTTATCTACATATTATCTATGGCTGCTTTGGCACAATTGCTACTCTAGAGACTGTATGGTCTGAAAAGCCTAAGATGCTTATTCTTTGGCCCTTTATAGAAAAAGTTTGCTGTTCTCTGGTGCAGTGGACGAAGCACACAAGGTCTAAAGCTAGACTACCTGGGCATGATCCTGGAAAAGATAGTTTGCCTTAGTTTCCTGATCTGTAAACTGGGGACAGTAATAGTATTTACCTGACAGGGTTATTGTGAGAATTAAATGACAGTGCTTAGAACACTAGTGCCTAGTATAAAGTAAGAATTCAGTGAATGTTAGATATTTTTATTATTACATATGAAGAAACTCTAGCCCAGAGAGATAAAGTGACTTCACAAGGTCACAGAATTTAACAAAGGCAGACTGTGAGAGTTTCCTGATTCTCCTTGCCTATATTATGTTGTTTTTTTAATTTTCTATATTGCCTGACAAAGAAAAACATTCTTGTGATGTTTTTGTTGCTGTTTTTAAACTACCTCAAGGCCACTCTAAATGAGAACTTCAGTTTCATCAGATTGGTCTTCTGCCAATCCTGTTACCTATATTTGTCCAAAGGCAACTTGTGGAACATTTGAGATTTCCAGGTGCCTACCTCAAACTTCTAGAAATTAAGATTTTCTTTATGTTTTCTAAAAAGGACAATAGAAGTCCCTACAACTCAAACCTGACAAGTCTGGCTTTTTAAAAAAACATTTATTGCAAAAACTTCAGAAACAAATAACCGAGGCATGCATATGGACCCCAGGATCTGAAGGACAGCCGATTAGTCCATGAGCATTCAAGGATATTTGCTATTTCCGGTATAATAAGCCTGTTTTCTCTGCTCACTTTTGTTCCTTATCAATTCTTGCACATTACCAACACTATCCCAGGTTTTTGCTTATTCTGTGAAACCTCTTAAACCTAGTAGAATGTTTGTTTACTAGCCCTGGGCAGTCACCTTTTTCGAGGCTTTGTTCATAAGAGGCCTTTCTTCATTAAATCCACTCCCAAATGGTCACTCCATTATGCCATGTTTCCTTGTCAGTTGGTATACAATTTTAAACAATTATACATTTGTCACTGCTGTCTAATTGTTCTCCAGTTTTTCTCTTTCTATGTAATACATCTGATCTTGCAACAAAACTGGAATTCCTTGAGAACAGGCAAACACCTTTTTTTTTTTTTGGTATCACCCAACAGTATTTAGTTAAAGTTATTTCCATTGTAGGCATTCAACAAATGCATCTTGCATTAATAAATATATAGCCACAAATACATTCTATGTACAGAATTTTAACTTTAGAGATGAATAAATAACACTTTTAAGCTACCACTAAGACTGTGAAAATGATCATTTGTTAGTTCATGGATTTAAAGATCAATCATCCAAATTAAAACAAATCAGAAGTATAAAAGTACCTTAATTAAAATGGAGATTACAACCCACAATAGAGAGATTAACTCTAGATCCTTAATGCTTACTCCTTTTAGTTACATTAGCTCTATGACACTGGAAAACGTTAGATCTGATACAATGGATACTGTGGGCATCGGTAAAACCTAATCTAAGTATTTTTTTCAGTCCACCTATAAAAGATTATGTTGAAATCCCACACAAGTATAATTTTCATCTGCATGTATAACATACCTATAGCAACTTTACTTAATATATGAGTACCTATAGCAACATTACTTAATATATGAGTATGTGAAGTATATTTTATTATAATAGTAGACAAGCAAACTGAATGTGTCCCAGGAAGGGGTCTTTTCCATTAACTTTTATAAAGGCTTTCATTTCAAACTTTCATTAACATCTGACAAGCAAGCTGAAAAAGCTTTGCTTAGAGCTTGGGTTAGGGGAAAAAATGCATTTTGGCAAAACTATTCCAAGATTACACTGACTGGCTGTGCTAGAATATACTAATTTGTTTTGTTTTGTTTTGTTTTGTTTTGTTTTGTTTGGAGTGTGGAGAAAAGAGAGAGAAAGGGAGAGAAGAGTCATGGACCCTACTTTATGGTTGCCATGGAGGCAAGGTCAGCCTTCCACACTTGGATCTACCAGCAGAGTTCAGACAGGTCAACGTGTGACCGGCTCAGGCCCTGGGGTTAAAAGTTCAAGCAGCGATGGAAAAACCAATATGTCCACGCAGAATATGCTGTACAATTTATTTCAATTTACATCAAGCCATGCATATAAAATTTAGATAAATTCCATTCAAATCTGATGTTGCCTGACACACAATGTATGCAAACAGATGTCTGTGGGGCTTTTTCTGTGCTTTAGAAAACAACATTAAATTTAAAAATATGTCTCTGGGATTTCTTTATTGAATTACAAATTGAACATAATTTTAACTTAAATGTTTTCATTCTTTCTTCCAATTTTTTTTTGTGGGGGTCTTAATAATTTCTCAGTTCTCAATCTACTCTATGTCATATTAAAGAGGATAATGTATATTTACAACTACAGCTTCAGTGTTATTGTAGTTATAGATTCTATTTATATCCCTTACCACTTTTCACAAACATTTAGTGATTGATATCTCTGATTTATCTCTAGCTTCTATCCTCATCTCCTTTCCTTTCTACTCAGAACAGAGCAAGCATCCTGGAAGCTGCTGCATCGTCTTCCAGCCACAAGGTGGCTCCCCCCACCCCTTCTCTCAGGCCAACAGGGTGGACACCTTTGCTGAGTGCTGCAGGCGGACTAGGATTCAGAGGCTAATTATGACCTATAAATACCATTATTTTCATTGTGAATTGAACAGATCACAACCTAGACCCTGGTACAATAAGATACAATGCAAAAATTCGTCTTTAGAAAGAGGACCAAGAAAAAGACCTTAGTGTCTTGCCTAATGTCTCTTCACCCATCCTTCCAAGGGTACGACTAACTTCACAGCAACATGAGGAAAATAATGAAATACTCTAGAGCAACCTAATTTTGTTGCCAAAGAACAGAGCCACAGACTAGACAAGTCCAGTTTATAAGAAAAGTATACAACCTATTCTCACTCAAACTGGAGCCTGCATTTGGAGTAGGAATGGGGTTTCAATTTTCTGGTTCTGATAACTTCCCCACAAGGAAATTTCCACGAGGACTTTGCAGCACTTTCTTAGAAGTCCCACACCACACCATAGATGAAAAACAGTGATCTCTAATACTGCAAAGCTTTAAAAGGAGTAAAATATTACATATTTACTTCTTGCTGCTTAGCAGAGTCCATATTTCATAAATGTGATTTTTTATAGAATACACCATAATATTCTACAGATGAAATAGGCATAGAGAGACAAATCATTTGTCTGATTACATGGAAGCTCTTTCCAAAAGTCTGAGTCCTAATATCTCACATTTTCCATTTTCTGTTCCAGGGAGAAGCTATTTGGGCAAGTTTCATTTTTCTCATTTGTAAAATGGAGATAAAAATAGGACCTATTCCTCACAGGATTTTTGTCAGAATTAAATGAGTTAATATATGTAAAGCACTTAAAAGAGTCCTTGGTACATAATAAGAGCCATATACATGTTTGCTATTATTATTATTATTTATTTGAGCTCAGTACCTCCTCATCTGCAAGTACTTTGTAACAGTAATTTGAGAAAAATGAACTTTCATGGATTTTGTAAAGACAAAAAAAGAGTATCATTTCTAGATGCCTGAATGCTCTGATCAGGGGTAACTGATGGTGTCTGGGATTTTTCCTCCTCAAAAACTTAAGAAAATATAAGCATTTCTTCCCAATTCATGCTTTTACTTTCCATATGACGTTAGAAAAAGAAACTGCTGATTTCCAACTCTCAAGTTTGTTTTAGATCATACTTTAGCAACTGCATCATTTTACTAAAGCAAACAATCATAAGTGGTGGTTCTAATAACTTGGTTACTATATTCATATTGTAAATGTATTAATTTTCATTTTTCACTATGTTAAAAAAAAGTCCTCAGGATCTTGCTCATGTCAGAATTTACCTTTGTTAAGCCTCTTGTTAAACTTAGAACGTGTGAGTCCCCCGCTTCTAAAGTAAACAAACATTTTGAATTCCCTTGTAAGCACTGCCTTGACAATTCTCAAACATTTTCTAAGGGTACAAATCTCCTTCACTTAAGATGACCTACAATAATTCAACCATGAGCAAAAGTTTAGGTGGACATAAAATTCTGCATTCACATAAATCGTTGTTTGTATAAGGAAGGATCTGTATACACAGATATAAATACATAGGTACGTGTTGGTATGTTTATACACATATATGTCCACATATATTCCAAATAGATGGAAATACATATTTAGAGACCAAATGAGATAAGCAAATCACTTTTCAATAGCCAAATAAAGGAGTATGACATTTTTTAATACCTGCTGTGCTGTCACGCAACCCTTTATTCTTTATTATCTCTGTCAGCCACTACTAGGTGCCTAGCAGACAAATGCTAGTCCTAGTCCTGACCATTTATTTCTATTTGGAATTATTTCAAGCCTAACTCTTTAGAACTGCTTGAAAATGCTGTCCCGATATGTTGGCCTTGCGCTCTGGAGTGAGGGTTGAAATAAGGGGAGGGGGAGAGGAATCCTTACACAGAGACAATTTGGCACCTTTTCTGAGGGAAGCCTGTCTTGGTTTTGCCCACACTTGCACAAACACAACTTCGAAAGACCCCTTTTCCATTCTGAGCAATATGGTATGTGTTACCAGAAGCAGTATCTTTCATTGCCAGAGGCAGTTTTTAACGCATGCATCAACTTTCACTATATTCTTAGCAACTCTTTCTTTCATGCCGGTTTAGGACCTCAGTTAACAGAACCCCTTAAAGAACAGATGTACTGAAGAAATGCATCAATTCATTATTTGTTACAGTTTGGGGGTGTCGGTCCTATGGGTTTTCTAGACAAGGGCTTATATGTTTCCCAAGAGAAATTTACTTTCATGAGAGAAGAAAATTGAGGCAAATCACTGCTGTTAGACCCCGAAGCCAGAGACACTGGTTTGTTGTCCTTCTGTACATGTGAAGAAAAAGCCCACAGTTGCAGAAACAGTCGTGTTTTAATCCACCTCTCATTCTTTCCCAGTGTGAAAAATTGCAAATGAAAGTAAATTTTTCTCTGTCAATAGAATGTGTATGATTACAGCTGTTCATATTTTCACTCTAATGAAGGGCTGCACGTTTAATTGTAAGATTTATTAGGTACTGTACATTGCTGTGTACATGCAAAACAGTTAATCGACATCTAAAATGCTGGCTGTTTATTCTGACATTAATGATCATATTTCTTAATTTGAAACAAAAAGCATTTGGGGAGAATGTATTTTGTTCCCTCCAAATAAGAAATTAATAAATTCAATGTAAGAAATAAAAAGGACTGCAGAAAAAAAATTATTGATTTACGTATGTGAGGCTGGGGAAAAAATAAAGATGCTTTAAAAAAAAAAAGTCCATAATCCCCCATTCTGCTGGAAACAAGAGAGTTGATTGCCAGCTTTGTTTGATTTCACAGAGATCTCATACGAGGCTGGGTTCATAAACAGGTGAAATGATGGAGTTTATTGCAACGCACATCAACACTGAAACTAAATAACTGTGTTGCCATCTCAGTCCCGCTGAAAGACGGATGGTAAACTTGACCTGCCGCTGGTACTATCCGATTGCCATTTTTTATTCCCCCTTCGCCGCCCCCCCAGGCTGAGCCACGTTGAGTAAATGCATGTGCACGGTCAGGTCAGGCCCCGGGATCGGGTGAAACTCGGTTCACATTTGCATACAGGCGGAGCCTCACAATGAAAGCCCATCTGTTCCCGTCTTGGAGTACAAATCGAATGTCACCCAACTCACTGCAAACGACAGCAGCATGGCCATTAGATGGAGGAACACTCAGCTCAGGTTACGGATATGGAACTGCTGATTTGGGTTTAAATACCTGATAACCAAAGACTTTTCATTATATGTGAACAAAGAATGAACTTTGAACTGCTCAGGAGATACCCTCTCCCCACATTGGGTACCCCTAGTTCTACCCTTTACTCATACTTAACTGCTATATTTTCCACTGTCTCTAGTTTTGTATAAAAATTAGCCAGGCTGAATGTCACAATGTCCTAAATAATTGCTTTTTTTTTTGGCAGGGAGAAGGGTAAGAGGTGGAGAGGCAAGGGATGTTGTAAATAGAAAATGAACTCTGAACTCTATATGCCCTCAAAGGTCATTAATATCACAGCAATGTTGTTCCTTGAACTTCTAAATTTTACCAGGGTGGAAATTTTAGTTGCTAGAGTTTAACCAAAGTGTGAACTGCCCCAGACCTTTTTCCCTCCCTTCCAAGCCCACTCAGTCAAGCGAGGCACCTGTCTCCTAGAATCTTCTCCACTCACAGGCCTGTTTATTCCAAGATAGTTTATCCCAAAATAGTTTATCAATCACGATCTGTGTCAGAGATTATTTTTCTGTTAAAATTTGGCAAGTATCTTAGAGTTTACAGACAGAAATCACATACATTCTGACACAAAAAAGATAAGAGTTGTTCAAGAAGAAACCCCAGGATAATAAGCCCATCCAAGCATTGGACATGATAAATACAAGGAAATTCATTAGCAAAAATATGGGTAGGCTTTCATCAAATGCCTTCTTGTCCCATTTTATGGCAGGAATCTACTTCTATGAACATCTTTCTAAGGAGGACACAAGCATCTGGGGTTTGGTTACTTGTGTTAATAGTTGAAATATTTCTGTATTCTGTTACATGAATCCATTTAACATTAAAATACTCTTTTAGTTATTAGCCCAGTTTGTTTGAGCCCCAGTGCATGTGTGGTTGCAGGTCCACACACATAGCTCCACTGTAGAGCAGAGAAAACAGACTGGCTAGTTTTTCTTTTACCAGTTACGTGTCTTGTTTTCCAGTGAGTAACAGTGTCACTTTAGGAATTGCAAACGCAATACCTGATTGGGTGAAAAAAATTTTTTTTTAAATATCTGCAAGAACTTTGTTGATTTGCTTTAAGCAATTATATACTTTTTTTCTTGCATGGATTTCTCTTTCTTAAAATACTTACTAAACAATCTTACGGAATTTAATGTATTGGGGTTACACACGGAATCCAGAATGTTTAAAGGCCATTGGGTCTTAAAGGCCATGTCTCCTCAGCCGGGGCTTCTTTACTATGTGAAACTATGTTCTTATTGTTTGTCCTTTAAAAATAATACTGGTGTAAAGAAAAGATTTGAGGGCTTTTTCTTTTTTCATGCCATGCAAGAGCTTACGGTCAACCTTAATGGAAGTTCTACATGCATTAAAAGGGAGAATAGACCCTTTGTTTCAGAAGAATGACCAAGACAAGGGTGATTTTTGGTTCCACTTTGTCAAGTTTAAGGGGAAACTGAAGTCAGAAAAAGAGAGAGAGACAGAAAGGGCCCCAAACAACTTTCTTAGCTGGCTCCCCATTGCCTCCAATCTTAAACTTAAAAT